GAGCTGAGAGGGCTCCCAATGTCAGCTCGTTACCTGTATAAAATACACCTGGGAGCCAGAGATCTTGCTGACTGATAGGGGATCAAATACTTATTTCATTCATGAAAATGCAAATTAATGTATAACTTTTTTTTGTAATGCATTTTTCTGGATTTTTTTTGTTATTGTTGTGTCTCTCACTGTTCACATAAACCTACCATTGAAATTGTAGACTGATCATTTCTTTATTATTGGGCAAACTTACAAAATCAGCTGGGGTTCAAATAATTTTTTCCCTGACTGTATATGTTACAAACAGTAACACCCCCAGAGGATATTTAAAGAAACTACATGACCCTGCAGTGCATGTCAAAACATTTACCCATTCTCTTCCTCTTTTTACTTCTCACATTTGGTGAAAGACATTTCTCACTTTAAATTAAAGAAGTCTAGTCTCATTTTCCTATTCCTCCTTTTACTTCTCCAATTTGTCAAGAGAAATGAGCCTTTTGTCCTGACATTACATAATCTTTGATTAAATGGAATCATATTGGCTGTTTACTTTGAATAGGATTATCTTTTTTTCCCGTACCAAGCATTTCCTCTTAGTCAATGCATCCTCATTGTTTTTGTGTCACTGCAAACTGCCTGTGTTGTACTCCTTCATGCGTATACACAGAAAGTTAGACTAATTGTAAAATGTGAGCATAATTAGAAATTCATTTGTTCTGGAGCCTATTCCAACTGACATTGGGCAAGAGGCCAGCCTATCATGTAGACAGGCAACCATACACACTCCTACGGGCAATTTAGAGTCACCAGTCAACCTAAGCTGCATGTCTTTGGACTGTGAGAGGAAGCCGGAGTACCGGCGCAGGCACAGGGAGAACATGCAGACTCCGCACAGAAAGGCACCAGGTCTGAGGTAGAAAATTTAAGGCAACATATTAAATTGTTGTTGGTTGGCACAGTAGAAACACATTTGTTCAGCAAGGCAGCCAAACTGATGAACATCAAAAATGCTTAAATGTTTAAATTACTGCTTTGCTGTTCCATGCCTCTGCCAACCAGTTGAATTCATGGGAATAGGGCAGATGTGAGGTCATTGGCCTTGACCTTTAACCTTTGACCACCAAAATCTAACCAGTTCATCCTTGACTCCAAGTGGACACATGCCAAATTTGAAGAAATTCCCTTAGGGCATTCGTCACAGTTGTATGCTTCCACCAACCATTCACGGAAATACAACAGATGCCACAGTGCAAGGTGACCTTGACCTTGTGCTGCCAAAATTTAATCAGTTCATCTTTGAGTTTAAGTAGACGTTTGTGCCAAATTTGAAA